GATATCTGCAGCAATACAATTTTAACAAATTAGCCGGAACTACATTTTTTTGATGTGTATAATGACTGCCTCTACAAGTTTTCACTTCCAGAGTACTGAAGTAGTGAAAGAAAGAAAAACAAATATTTTTAACGCTAATTTCCAGATTTCCAAAAATTGTCTGATACGTTCCTGAGATATTTTCTACCTTCGTTTCTTTTCAAATTATCTTCCTTCGCTAAAAAAAAAAAGACCGTCTGCATGACAACAATACAGTTACGTAAAAAACAAAAACTTTCTATTCGTAAGATATCTCATTTGAGTTTTTACTTTTCTGATCCATCTTTTACCTTTTAACTTAATTTTTTTTCTCACTTTATATAGGGATATTTCGAAATATTCATATTTTCATTGTCTTTGATTTCAGACAGTGGTTTATTTACCACACCCTATTCTTTTCATTATTATTATGATTTTTATTATTCGGTTAAGTATGCTCATGCACTACACTTTCCAAGAGGGGTGTGTTGTTATAGAGATGAACTTTATGCAGATTGTAAAATAAGAGCTCGAGGATAGGTGTCCTTGTGAGTATCTTGCATCTTTTTCAAGGAAGTTGGGAAACATTTCTAGATACACAATTGTAATCATTACTTTTTTAAAAAAGACTACATTGTAGTAAAAAAATTTATACATGAATAACTTTTTATACATAATAATTGTCCAACAAAACAGAAATTTGGAAAACGGAGTTTATTAAGAGAGCAACACTTATATTAATTTAATAACAGATCCCTTACCAAAACACACCAACAACATAACAGCATTTGAGAGAACAATGGATAATAAACTGCTTGTAGTTGAGAAGAAATCTGAATATATTAATTTTTCATATTTGAATATAGAATTCGATTTCTGTACATCAGAAGTGTTATTAAACATCACGATTCTTTGTAGCATACTGACAATCTGTATTTCTAGTAGTTTTTTTTTTTTAAAATATGTTACTACATTAAGTTCAAATTATATTTGAATACAGAAAGGATAAAAGTTGGTTGGATAAGTAAATACCTTTTTACTATGTAAATTAATACAATAAATCCAGCCAAGTGTCGGCGTCATGTATGTTTTCTAAACAGCATGATTTTAATCTATGTTAAAAGTTAAAAGGTTTGTTTCGAGTTCAATCTGTGTTAAATGTACTCATAAAATCTTATTTTCCTTTATCAACGTTTTGATTTTTTAGACGCTTATGCACATTCTAATTGACATGGATGTCGCAACAAGTTTCATTAAAAGCAATTCCAAACATAAACTGATTTGTGTTCATTGGGATATTTAATGCATACTTTATACAACTGATCCCATTAGAAATATATTTCTAGCGATCATTTTGATGTTAAGATACATCATTAGTATTTACTATGCTATGGTTTCTCGTCCTGATTGGATACTGTACAGTCAAAAACCCCTACCCCTTCTCCTTACAACCACCAAACAATCAAACTATAGTCCGATATTATTGAGGCAATATTTTCTTCAAAACATGTGATATCCTGGTCAAGTTCATTCTTGTCATTCCGTGCAATCGAGTTGAACTTTTTTAGGTTTAGAATTTGGCCATACACGATATATATCTTTAAGTACACCGTATATGGCCTAATTCTAAACTTTAAAAATACGAACTGATTGTCGCAGATAACAAATGCATTGTATATACCAGGAAAACAAGTATTGGTGAGATAATATAGATATATTTTGGTAGTTAGGTGTGTGTGAGGGGGGAGGGGTTTACAATATTTTATGTACACAACTTGTGCCTGTGGTAGAAACAGACTAGTTTGCAGTTTTGTTAGGGTCGCTGTAGTTCGAATACATTCGAACGCAGTGACATTCAGTAGAAATTTTAAAAAAAGCATAGTGACATTCAGTGACTTTTAATATTTTGCAATTTTGATCGAAGCAAAAAAAAAGTAAAGTAAAACACTTATATACACCAATCTTATATATGCATGAATAATTAAACAACAAAACTTTTTAATGAACAATTTTTATTTTACAGTTTTAGTCAGATTACCATGGACAACGTCCTCACCAAAAGAAAAAAGATTCCACTAAAAAAAAAAATCAATGATCAAATAAGATATTGTAGATCACTTAATTTTCGTTCTACCTTATTTTCGTAAGGAAGCTATTTGGTATTTATAAGCGAGACCAAATTTTCACGCATTCTTGTTATTGTTGTAAATTACCTTACTTGAAAATAGATATCTGCCAGGATAAAATTTTCGCTAGTAGACGCTCTGCGTTATTACGCCAAAATAAAGTTCTTGAGAATAAAAAGTGATTTAGAGTATTTGCAGAAATGTTAATGTATTACAATCAGTACAAAAAACTAACGGTTTTATATATGGCATGTAGGTGTGATATGTTTAACAAATCCCGGATTATGTCTGGAATAAATTTTGCCTGCACCGCGCGACACAACTGTTACAGCACATTCTTCCATTGAATCCGAAAACTGGATCATAAAGGGACAGGTACCTGTGCTTCTACATGAGCACCCACCACATTGCGCGGAAGCTCCTCTAAAAATATTTTGAAGCTTCGACAATTTCGTAGACAGCTGTTTTGTCAAATAAATAGTATTAAATACATATATTTATCTACTTTGTATTCATAAATATAAATCATGGGCTTTTAAATTTATTGTTTGAACTGAAATTTTACGGTAAAACCACCGAGTTAAAGGTCGTGGAAGGTGTGCAAGACCAGGGTAAAATGTTCAAATTGTGAAATGTGTTTCAAATGATCTTATTTTTAAGGAATTCAAAACTAAATAAAATCTAAATGTGATGTAACGAGAACCACTTACATCATTTTGTCTCGTGTCATAAATATCAATTATAAGACGAATAGAGGAAATAACAAGTTAAAAAAACATGAAATGTCTATAAATGCCCTAAAAAGAATGTCAGTCATCCGAACAGACCTCATCACACAATTATATATTTCTAGATCTCTTGGAAGCCTCATAAAAGAGGACGAAAATAATAAAATCAACAGGGGATACTATGATTATTTACAATGCATTGATTTACAAGAGAAATGAACAGTTTTCAAACGGTGTATACAATTTGGGAGACGCTTTAAGAAGTGGATGACAATAATTATTGTTATGTGATGAAAATACAAAAATTCCATATTCATGACGTTGTTATTACATGTTTGACCTACCTCGTAGGCTGGGACATGCATCTTGTGTGTTGAAAATATTTATGCGGATAACTTCCCATAGTGTGTGTATTACTCTGATGTTTGTGTTATTTTGCTCATCGATGGTCCATATTAAATTATTATTGTACACACTTGGCAGTGTCCATATCATAATCAATGCAATAGCATATATCCATGAACGTTTTGGGAAAGAAACCTCTTATTTACCAATTAGTCGTTTTTGTTTTTAATAGAACAATGACAAATTTTAAAGCCTAAAGAAAGATTTTCCATGCACAAGCTGACTACAGCTTTCATTACTATTGTTGATTCACAGCAGAATGCATAATAGATACTAAGCCATTGCAGATCCAAAATCAGACAATGGAACATAAGCACATCAGCACATCCTCTTATTTTTTCATTTTTATACATTTTTATTGGGTATCTTTATATCAACAGCTTATTTTAAGGGAAAAAAACCGAAAAGTGTACAACTTTTCTTCATAAAGTACATCCTCTTATTTTTTCATTTTTATACATTTTTATTGGGTATCTTTATATCAAGAACTTATTTTAAGGGAAAGAAAACGAAAAGTGTATAACTTTTTTTCATAGCCAGAAGTCATACAAATACCAACTGTTTGTCAATTGTAATTTCAGTAAAAGACGATAATAGCGAATCGCCGGTAGTAGGATAAATTTCTTCTTAAATAAAAATGCTCAATTTGTAATATGTGAACTTCTTAAATCATGAATACCCTGAATCAATGTTTATTCTTAGTGTGTTTAAGTTGAAACACACTATTCTATCAGCATTGCACACTTCGCTGTTTCTCTAAGTTTGTTTCTTTTTCTCAAAACGACGCTTTTTATACTAGTTTTAAAAAAAGGGCATATATATGTATCAGATCTATTCATTTTCTTTCATTTTCTTCAATGGCTTTGCGATTTTCCTAACCACTGGATAGATTGAAAATAAAGTTTTCATACTATAGAGGAATAACCATGATATATCATATTATGTACCATATTTAAATCTAAGAGAAAAAGATAAACAATGTTTTCTAAGATTTGAATTAGTGAAGACTTTCCGAGATAAAAATATATAGAGAATTGTAGAAGCTCGAAAAGATGTCTGACAAAAAATATAGTTTCCTATTCCTGATGTATACATCTTTTTTTTTTGAACAAGTGTTTAAAAAAAGTGTTCATGTGAGACACGCATGCAACTCCTGCAAATGAGCGACTGGAATATATACGTACATCAGTACGATTTCCTCTTTCCTCCTTTTTATTAAGAATTTTTGTCCTATGCCATAAGCTGCATTAGTCTGTTATCTATATATCCTATTGAACTATGTCCTAAGGATTCCTTTTGAAATAGAGCTATTGTGAAAATTTCTAGAGGTGATATTTTTTTCACAGTCTTTATCTTCTGTATTATTTGCTTACACTCTTTGCCAAAAAAAAAAAAAATAATTAAAAAAACGAATGAATAGTTTTACATACTTTATATATAATAAGTAGTAATCATGATATTTAAAATGTTACCTAGGGGTTAGGTCAGGTCGATTAATTTTCTCTTGCAGGAATATTCGCGATTATAATCCCATGAGATTATACATATTTCCCAATACAGTTTTGGTTAAATCGGTCTAGGTTTTGACATATAGGTGCACCAGGTAAAGGGAGTTCTATATCAGTAAGTATGATAAAGATAAGAAAGAATAAATAAGTACTTAAGGACTGTTTAAAACTTGACATTATTCGTCTACAATATGAAGTCCATTCTCGTGTCTCTGTTATGGTTTCTGGTCCTTCTGGGTTACTGTGCAGCTCAGTGTTTCTATTCTCGTTCTCCAACACCTCCTCCACCAGGATCTACAGGTAAAAAGAGGAAAGGTTAAAATTAAAAAAAAAAATATCTGAAACGTGTGAATGTTAAATATAACAATGCTTGGAAAATGTTGGGAAATAAAGTATATCTGATCATATTTAAACCTTTATATAATTTTTCTTAAGCTTATAAAGATATTTAGACAACAAGTAATGGATTCAGGAATTTGTACTCATAACTACATGTATATGAATAGATTCTGACTTTCACAATCGACGACTTACTTTTAAACTAGGATAATATACGGAAGCTCTTTTGCGATATAAATATTAAGCTTAAGAGTTAATTAAACGATAATAAAGGGTCATTTCAAAGCACATATTACGTTGTTTAGGAATAGAACGGCATCCACCCTACCCTCATTCCCCTCTCTTCCCATACTGTTGCTTTTCCTTTCGGAATGTATTGTGTTCCTTATTTCATTTCTTCAGAAAATGTGATTGAAAAGAAACACTATCCCTCACGAGTAAGGTTATTTAAGTTACGTAATTCTGCCTCGTACCACCTCTTGCATTGATTGCATACCAGTTCATCATGTTAGTACCCTAACACCACACCTATAACCACTATAATGGTTTCCTTGTCTATTATCATTTCCGTATCACCGTACAAAAAGCAGGTTTAAATGTCAAAGTAAGCCGTCGACTGTAAAAGTCAGCGTTTCTCGCAAAAGTCCACTTGGCAAACCTCAGAAATTCTGCAACCCCTCTTATCCGTGTATTTAGTCTTTTACAACAGACGACCTGTTTAGAGAAGTTTAATTATTTATTGTTTTCTTTACTTGAGATGTTTTCTAGCTATGCTTACTTAGATGCTTATTACTTGCTTATACTCGTTAATATGTGTTGTCTCTGGTGATTTCTCTAATGCTGAAGATAATATATGTAACATAACTGATCCTTTGATGAAACAATGGAATACCTATCGATAAATTACTACATGCAAATATTCTGATTGGGTCGGAGATGAGTCATGGGTAGCACAAAAGCCATTTGACATTTCTAAAATTCTAAGTATTTCATTTTTTTCTTCAATTAGATCCACCTCCTACCCACTGCAATTCATCTGGTGTGATATTGGCACCAGGAGAAGCACACACAGATATGACAAGATGTTTGAGATGTCACTGTGGAGCAGATCTTGTACTCTACTGTTGCTCGTATGACATCGATTACATTATTGCTCCATTTTACCTTATCATTTAAACTTCATCTTCTTCACGATTACATTACTGCTCCATTTTACCTGATCATTTAAACTTTATCTTCTTCACGATTACATTATTCCTCCATTTTACCTTATCATTTAAACTTCATCTTCTTCACGCTTACATTCTACATACACTTGACAACATTGCCAACGCATGACCTAAGAAAAGTAATTTTTCATTTTTTAAAACTTCTTTATGGTGTATAAAATATATATCTATCTTATATCGAAACAAATGAGGCATTCCTATGGTTAAGCTGATAAAAAAATGCGATGTTAATCAAAGGGTAACTGACTTCATATCTTGGCAAAGATGGTGCGCAGTGCACATCAGGAAATTGGTTTTGGGGAAAGAAAATCATTTGAGCGTCTTGTCATGACACCAAGACTTTTGTCAACACCACTATATTGAGAAAGATGGCAAATAAGACATACTTGTGTTGATTAGGCAAGTGTTTAATTAAGAATCGAATATTACAAGTGGTGCGTTAGCAACTTTGGCAAGTGTAATTTGATATTGACTTATTTTTTTCATTGGCATCACACATAGGTAACTGACACAGCATTCTTGTTTTTATTATTATATTGGATATAGAATGCTCATGCACTACACAGTACCAGAGGGTTGTGTTGTTAAAGAAAAGAACTGTACACAGGAGATTGTTCACAAAGCGGACGGATCTCCATGCCAATATCTTGCATCTTTTTCCAGAAGGTGACATAACAACAAATGGAACAAAATTGAAATTATTATTAAAGAAAATAACATTTTAAATTTTTAAATACATGTTTGTATTTATCTGAAAGTGTCCAATAAAAATTACAACCATAATAACCTTTTATGTCTTTTCATTAAGTAATGTAAATGTTCAAATGAAAGCTGCATCAGCTCGCTATGAAAAAAATATGTAGTATATATCAGTGTATAACACTGATATATACTGATGAACGCAGTTAATATGCGAATTTGATCGTACATGTATTTGATAATTTGGGTTGTTTAGAACGTATTTTCACGCTATGTCAGAGCAAATCGGGTCCAATTACGGGTAATCTGTTTGCAAACTGTTTTAAAAAATGGGGTTCGCAAGGCATGCAAATAAACAGTCGTGTAGTATAAAATCACAACTATATCAGCCAGACTGGAAATACATGCCTGTATTGTGTAAAGTGCTAAAACCAAAGATTTTGAGACCACCCAGGATCTTCAGGTAATAGCAGATGTAAGATAATAATTAAATATTTTATATCACAAATCAAAAAGGACGTAACCCTTTTTCAATGTTTGCATCGTTAAAGTCGAGTAGGAAGAATATAAATATCAAGTTTATAAGGTAAAGACGAACAGAGAAAAAGGATGGCCGATTGACTGAGTGTTGTTTCACATCACGTGCAAGAATTTTTTTACTCCTATAGAGACGTTACTAGTTACCGTTGAAGGGATTTAATTTTACCTTTACTCCTAGATTATAGGCAACCAGGTAGTGAGGGTGCTTTACATCAAATGAGCTTAAATTACATCCTGGATATAGCAAATGTAACTTCGTTTTCCCCCTAATATATCTGGGCATATGAAATACAATGTTTATTCGATATTGTAAGATATCTTTCGTTGATTCTTTCTGAACATTAATGCTGAGTTGCTTTAATTTATATATTGCTGGTATTTAAATGTTTGCTTTTTTAGTTGATTGCTACACTTATTTCATGGCTGAATTAGTTGAGTTAAATGTCAATATATGAGTCTAATGATTATGCGTAATTTAATGAAATGTATGTCATCGATTGAAGATCAGAATCGAATTGCAATTTTATTTTGACTTTATGTTTTTATGGATATATCAAAAATGTATGTTGATTTCTATACCAGGAATCTTTGTTTACAATGCCACAAAAACTTGCTTCTAAAAAGCTTAATATCCTATATTTTGTACTACATTTGTATTTCATACAACCTTTCTTGCATACTAAATTTTCTTATGCTATTGAGTTTTGTACATGCAACAGGAAATAGTTCTTTGGATTTAAACAATGTCAATGCCTGTCGATTGGGTAGTACAATATGAACAGAACATTCTGACTGGCTAAGAAACTAGCATTAAAAAGCAGTGTAATGTTTTGAATTTTATGCCATAAAATGGCCAAGCGAATTTATTGGTCTGTAGAGACGACTATAAAGGGTTTAGAGGTGGATAAAATATACAAATTGGTTATAGAATATGTGTAGTATTGGGGGATGAAAGGTCGTTGATTGACCAATGCTGGAAAGTAGTGAAAAAAATTCCCAAAGTGCTGCAGCTAGATATAATCGAAAGGAGCAACAAAATATGCACTTATTTCTATATCACTTTCGGCTATGGACTTTCCTAAAGAAAATATCACCTTTAATGGGTAATTTTGAAGCTTTCTTTCTGTTTAAACTGAGAAATATCCAAAATTGTTGAGTGCACATTTCAAGAGTTGTCCACCTTTTGTCACATTTTTCATGATTTATTACATTCATATATTTAACTCATTTTAAGCAAAGAACAAGTGCACTTAAGCTATGCTTAATGGGCCCTTTTTCAGTGTCATTCTACTTTAGAATATATACCCAAATTGCTCTTTTTTGGTAATAGTTAAACACAAGAGGATATTTCTAATTAAAATCACGTTAAAATGTCAAGTAAATCAGCATGGATTTGAAACAAATGAAGATTTTTAAATGCCTGTAGATACCTTAAATCCGGAAAGTCGTACCGAACCTTTTCTGAGTTTCGTTTATTAAAATCAAGGGGAGGAAACATTTAAATCGGACACTTGAACAATCTGATGGTGGATCATTGACTGGCGCGTTTTCCGAATGATACTTCTTGCGCTATTTTACATGAGAAAAATATCGAATGAAGTTGTATAGATGCCTGTAGCCATAGTGATCAAACTAAGAAATTTGTACGTTTGTATTTGAAATAATACAATAAGTATTAACATTAGTTCCTTTAAATTTTAACATGCATTAACTATAGGGCTTGGAAACGACATGTCTGGATTTTGATGAAATTTGCACCACAGTATTCGAAGTGTCATCTCATGAATAAATATCGGTGGGCTTTTAATCCTATTTTTAGTACCATGTATCTATAAATAGATAGATTTTAGAAAAATGTAAAAAAAATTAAATTTTGCCAAAGTTTTAGATGTCATTGCTGGATAATTATGACGTATATTGTAAAATTTAAGATATTAATGGTAGCAGCTGGACACAACTAGCTGGAGTGGACAATGGTTGAGGAGTATTCCTATTTCTATTTATAGTATCAAGCACCTAAATATAGATATGTCTCTGGATATTAGGAAAAATGACAGTTTTATGCTAATTAGAAGCTTTATACAAAAAGTGTTAACAAATATAAAGCTTTTTTTAATATGCCTTCAAAAAGAACAAGTGTTTGTACAATAATTGATAAAATATTGAGGATCGACTCTTGTTTCTTTTTATAGCAATAATGGTCTAAAAATAGATTCCTCGAATAATCGAGAAAATGTAGATTCTTGCACTTTTTCAGATAATGTCGGATGGAAAAAAATGCAGACTAACTCTTATAAACATAGCATGACTGACAAGTACTAGAAACCATTTACTGCAATACACACTATCTGAAGGGGGTTCCCTTTTCTATTTATAGTACCAAACACCCATAAATAGAAACATCTCAGCATTATGAGGAAAATGACAATTTTCCACCAGTTGTTAGCTTCATCGAAAAAAGTATTTACAAAATATACTGCTGTCTACAATGTGTCATGAACAAGAACATTTGAGCAATTAATAATGCAGGAACGCCTTCTCCAAAGTCGTAGAAGCAGCCATTATAAAGACAATATCCTAACATATGGGAAACAAAATTGGGACGATAAGGTATAAGTTTAAAAAATACGCTATTTCAAAAATGATATCGATGAGCAAAGCTCTGTAAGGACTCAACTGTCTTAACTAGCATATTGTCAATAGCTTTAAGTTATTTAAAACATAGCCCTAACCATCAGGTAGGGGCTAAAACACCTGGTCAAAGTTTGACATAAAAATTTTAAAAAAACCCCTATTTTTTAAAATGTTCTTTTAAAATAGATAGAAATAACAAATAGTGTGTAATGATATACCGACATTAAAATGTAGCGAAGAATCAAGAATGTGCAATTTCTGCTCCTGGCTGAAGACATAAGCGTATACAATATATAATGAATGTGTGACATAGGAATATATACATATGGGTTAAATATGGAGATTACAAATAGTATTAAAGCTCAAAACTCCAATCAAACAATACAAAACAAGAGCAGAGCAAACAAGGACCTTTAAAACATCAGAGGTGGGATCAGGTGCCATGGAGGAGTGTGCATCCTTTGCCGACTGGTCACACCAGACGTATGCTCCTTGTTATGATCGGGAGAAAAGGAAAAACCATAGATAATTCAGTTTGTAGAAAATGACCTAACAATTAGTATATAAAAAAACGTCAGTCAGCATTTGACTTCATGATAAACTGTATTTGCTGACAAGGTCATTGTATCGACCATAGAACTTGCAAAATGATGACTTTTAACGAGACAGTTGATATTCTTGTTTCATCAACTTGTTTGTCATTAGCTTGGCTCGTTTAAGAAATTGTTGTTTGTGCGTAGATAATGCTATTGCGTATCGAATCAACTGATAGAAGAAAACCTTGGTGATGAGGGTATATTGCTACATAAGTAAGGGAAGTTGACGATTGGAAAGTTGAAGTCATCATGTTTATCATAAAGCTTAGTTGTCTTTTTTCTAGTAATATATCCAAATATGAAACACATGTGTCAGATTCTGTCATATCTTTTATTTCAAGCTCACTGGAATAAATCGAGTCGACATATGAATGGAGGTAACAAATTCTTAATTGATAATATATATTTAAATCACGAGTTGAAGGGCTCAGCAAGTGTTTTCTTCTCATGTATAAGATTATGAATAAATTCTGCTTCATATGTGTACAAAATAGTTCTGTTAATAACGGGGCGCAATTGGTACCAATGGGAATGCCGACAGATTGTTGGAGGACTTGGTCTCCAAAAACTACATAGATCTTGTTAATTAGAGATTCAAGCATCTTTTAAATGTCAACTTCAGAGTACTTGTGTATACAATCAAAATGTTTTTTAAACAAAACAATGTTGCAAATGACCATTGACAAGGTAAGTAAATTTACGAGTTGTATTTTTATTGAAAAAGCAGCTGTCAATGATGACAAAAATCTGGACTTTATTTTATCGTGAGGAATGGTTGTATAAAGTGTTGAAAAGTTGTTATTGATTTTGGTATAAAAAATGTGATTTCAAATTTTCTAAAATTCCTTGGAGTTTTTATGTATTTACACCACTCTTTTTCTTAAAAAATTCTACTAAAAAACAATAAGGTCCTTAATCATTTTTAAAAGTCTGATCAAACAAGGTCCAGGAGGGTCTAGAATTTTTATAAAAGAATAAAAGAATATCTTGTACCTAAAGTCCACAGGGCGGCAGTTATTTGCATTAATATGCAGGTATCATTTTTTGGATCTGGTTTCAAATTTGTTGAGATCAGGGATTCATTACTAAAGGTGGGATCAAAATAATGGTTAAAGTTTGACATAGTTGCACATGGGAAAAATTCACTTTTACAAGCTTGTACTAAAGACAGCCGGGTTAAGACTGGAGATATAAAAATGTACCCATCCCCATTTAATGTCAATCCACATCTGTTCACATCGTTCTTCAAAGGATTGTTTTTGATGTAGGCAAGAAAAGGATTTCGGATATATAATGTATAATCATGTATAATAAACA